GGGAGACGCTGCGTGCTGCCTGCAAGAGGCTAACGCTGCCCAGAGCCAGCACCCGAAGGCGAAGTGGCACCTACCTCTGCAGCTCCTTGAGCGAGACGGTGACCCGCAGGCTGTGTCCCAGGAGGAAGAGGGCAGCCAGGATGTCGGCCCACTGCACCATCTCCCCCAGTGGGCCTCCCTTCAGTACCCGCGGGCTGAAAACATCACCCGACTCCTCCGTCAGGAAGCCGATATGGATCAGGATCTGGAGGGACAAGGAGAGGGGATGAGGTGCGGATCGCAGGCACAAGAGCTGGTCCGGGGAGAAACGCGGCTGTGCTATTGGGGAGGGTGGTTTTGCCTTTCTGGTCAGAAAGGAGTTACAGTCTCCAATTCACTCCCCACTCCTTATTCAGGCTTTAATATCTGAGGGAAATCACTCAGGTGTGAAGACAAGCAATCCATGTCTAATGAGCAAAGACCTAAAATTCAGCAGCTACCAGCCCCCACTGACTGACTCACTGCATCCCAGGACCAGGCCTGTTTTCCCAGAGCCCCTCAGGGTCTGGCTTATGGACGGGAAGCTGAGTTTCACTGCAGGAGGGCATCCAAAGGCCAAGCTAAAAAATGCAAAAATTTGCATTGTTTGTAAAAAAATAATTTGTAAAAAAACAGATAGGAGGAGGGCTAGCAACATCAAGCACCTCTGGGTGGGAGAGGTGCCAACCCCTCCCAGTACCTCCGGGCAGGAGAAGTGCCAACCCCTTCCAGCCTTCTTGCTAGCAGTCTGCCCAGCTGGACCTGCCTCCTACCACCAGGACCCATCTCCAAAATTCAGTCCACCTCTCAGCCAAGCCAAGCCTGTGGTGCCCCGAATGCAGAGATGTGCCCATGGCCACCCCCGCTACAACCACAGACCGGACCCTCCAGGCCCACGTGCATCCCTAAATCACGTTCCCTCCCAGCCCGCCCCAGCCCCTGGCCGCAGCCCCCTGCTTCCCCAGCAGTGCAGCCGCCCTCTCCCCCTACCGAGACCCCGTGCGATCTGCTCGTACATGTTTCTGGTCCCTCTGCCGGCCCTTCAGCTTCTGCTCCAGGCGCCGGGCCGCCCGCAGCCACTGCTGAGCCAGGTGCCGGATCCTCTTCTTCATGAAGATGAGGGACTCCTTGCCCGTACCCACCAGCTCCAGGAGGCGAGCGAGGTCGCTTCGGAAAGCTGCCTAGGGAAGAAAGCAGCTTTGCTGTCTGAGTATAGGGGAAGCGGCTGCGAGAGGAGCCTGGGGGCTCCCAGGGGACCAGAGCAGGTTTGCTCTCCCTGAGCATCTGCTGCATAAAGAGCCCCCGGCAAAAAAGGCTCTTTTCCAGCCTCCGGAGCTGCTGAGTACCAGCTGGGGGCTGCAGGGAGGTTTCCCTTGGAAAACCTGGAACAGGAGAGCAGGCAGGAGAGGAGGGAATTGAGGGGGTGTTTTGCCTTCCCCACTGCCTCTTCTCTCAGCTCCTGAATTGATGGATACAGAAAACTACTCAGAAAGGATCCTGAATTATAAATAAAAGTTCACATCTGGGGATTGCATTGGCACCACTGATTCCCACACCACCCGCAGCAGCCTGTAATACAACAGCCCCTCGCACCAGCTCTAAATCCGGCAGAGCTGGCATGACACAGGCCCTTCCCAGTTGGACAGCCCCCCGCCATGGCTGAGCCACAGCCCAAAACTAGAGCTCCTCCGCTTAATGCGCCAAATTCCCTGGGCCCTGTTGCATGCAATGACTCTTGTGACACCCCAGAGGTGAGAAAATTCACATGCTGCCTCCAGATCCATCTCGGAGGCCTGCTGACACTGCTGTCTCTGGAAACACTCGTGTCAGTCACTTTGAGCCCTCAAAACCCCCCTCACACCAGGCAGGACAGGAGCTGCCGTGGCCTTACCTGCCCCCTGGGCAGCGGCCCGGGCGAAGGCAAAGCCGCTGTCTGGTTTCTCCAGGGCAGGGGAGGGCAGAACCACTCGACTTCGCTGAGGTAGATGAGGAAGGAGCACTCTGTGCCGTCCACGCCAAAAAACGCATAGCAGGGGTCAGAGGTCCACCTGGCCCTCATCCACTGCAAGGGAGGCAAAGAAACCCATCAGGCTCCCGCTCCTGCCAGCCTGCTTTGGACACCACCACAAGAAACCCAGCAGCCCAGCAAGGCAGCAGCACATAGCAGCCACGGCCCGGAGGCGTGCTGCACTTAGCGGCTTTCTGCACCAAGATTCCTCTTTTCCATAACCTTTTTTCCATGGAAGCTAAACCAAGGCTTTAGCACAGGCTGCAGCAAGTACATACGTGCTCCCTCAGGGCAGTCACTAATTCCTAGCAAACGATATGCTACGGGGATTTCTTCTTGTTAGCTTTGCCAAGGAGCGAGCAGACCTGCTGGTTTCACAGCCCTGGGCACAACGGGGTGAGGAGACAGCTCTACTGGCAGTCCCGGAGGATGATTTCACACGGAGGAGAAGAACCAGCCACCACACCGCCGATCTATCATCCCCTGGAAGGGCTTTTGCCAGCCTCTAATTCAACTACGAAAACAAATCTACTCAGGAGGCAGGTCACTGCGCCCAATATGTAAAATGCACCAATCATCCAGACAGGAGATCGAATTACAGCCTTCGACAATTAAATTACACTCCGAATTTACTCAAATAGTGGAAGGAAAGGATGCCTAGTGCTAGGGGAAGAGGAAAATACAACCCCTAGTGCCATTTAATATACCCTTCAGTATCTTTTCATAGAGACTCAGCCCTACAGAAATCTAAGCTGTGTTTGAAGTGGGAGGCTGGGAGGGGAAGGGGAAAGGGAGATGCTTTTAATTAGTTCATGTAAATATGCTCTCTGACAAAGCAATCGTGCCCCAGGCCAAATACCAGGCTGCGTTCAGGTGGGAAGAGCATGCTGTGGCAGGCAGGACATAATGTTTGAGATCAAGGTCCTTGTCACCTTAACAAGATGCTCTTCTGTGCAACGCTGAGATTATTTCCTAGACCCTAGCTAATGCTCCACATATTTAAAGAAGATGTGACAGTGCTTTCTCCTCATCATGCTTCTGTCATTAAACAAAGAAAATACAGGCAGCGAGGTCTGCAGGGAGAGGTAATCTCCTGGAGCTGATTCGACTGCTGCCTGCAAACCCCACTTCTTCTGTCCTTCGACTACTGTGGCTACAATGCTTCATGCTACTAAAGCTAAAGGTAAGAGCTGTTATTCAGGAAGAGAGATGCATTCTCCCAACCTGTCCTCAGCAGGACACCTACCTTTGTGTTTTCTCCCCACAATGCAGCCATGCCCTGTTTTCTGCAAGGACCCTTTGGCTGACCACAAGAGGTACTTTCTGCTCTTCCTTCTTCAGAGGGCCTGACCCGGGTCCCGTTTTAAAGGGAAGGGTCATTTTGGGAAGCATCACCCTCTGCACTGCACTTCCCAGGTTAATCTCCCATATTAGCTGCTTTAGGCCTTTCCCAACAATTTCCGCTTGAGGATGAGCCCCTCTCCCAGAGGAGCTGGCCTATCTGGAGGCGAGACTGTCTTAGCCGAGAAGGGAAGAGCACCCCGACTCACCTCCACTTTTCCAGCGCAGTCAGGGTACTTGGGGTCCCTGGGCACCTCACACTGGTCTCTCCTGCTGTCCATCACTGCAGAAAGAGAACTTGGGCAGAGGAGGACTGGGACGTGCTGGCAGGTTAGCCAGCAGTGCCAGGAAAGGCAGTGGGGTGATGGGACGGGGCTGCCAGTCGCTGCCTACGTGCGGCTACACTCCCACTTGGCAGCACGCGCCCTGGACACCGTGGCCAAGCCAGGAGGCAAGGCACATGGCCCTATCCGATGTTCCTCTTTTGTGTGTGTGTGTGTATACATACGTATATATGTGTATATATATGTGTGTGTATATTTTTTTTTCTTCTGCTCTCTGAGCCTAAATTACTGGATTTGGTCTAGGTTCCAGGTGCCACCTATTCGCACTCCTTTTAATAAACTGGCTGCAGGATCTAAGGAAGTACTTGACAGCCTTTGCACCGTAAAATCACAATAAAAATTGTCTCAGCCACTGCCGCTGACACGCTCCAGCGTGCCACCAGAGAAGCAGGATCCCCCCAGATGAACACCCAAAGCAGGGTCAGGTTTGGCACACAGCATCTGTGGGCCCCTGGCCACCCTGCAACACAAATAGACACCACGCTCGGAATAAGGCATGAAATCGTCTAGAAATAGTAATGAGAGCTTTTCTATCCTTCTTGCTGGTTTAATAAAAGACACTGCCTCTCCAATACACTCTTCCTCTCCTATAACGGAAAAAGCTTCCTAATTAGAGATGAGGCTGAAGAAGTAGAGCTAGCACCTCCCATATGACGACACAAGCGCCCAGCCTCTGCGGCCACCCAAACCGCAGCGGTCTGGGGAGCCACGCTGCTCTGCCAGCACTGCCGGGAGCAGAAAGGGAACGTCTCCTGGCTCTGTGTCCAAGCCCCCTGGCTCCGGATCCAAACCACCAATCTTTCTAGCCCGGTGACAGCACTACTCCTTGCCCCAGGGCAGGAAGGCGAGTAGGCAGCCTGCCACAGGAAGATGGGCTCGACTAAGCACAGCGTTCAACTCTGAGTTCAGATTTGTCACTGCTCCTGCCCCTTGCAGGCACTAGTTTCACAGGTCTTGCTCCTCTGCAGATTGATTCCCTAAGCTCTCAAGTCCTCCTGGCCAAGGGAGGTAATGCTTTAAGGAGGGAGTTACCAGTGTCAGGAGACCACAGAGCACGGTTTCTTATCTAGCCTCCTTTTCCAGCTCTCCTGACTGTAACGGCAAGGTGTCCTCGATGTCTCCAAGATGGGCTCAGCCCAAACTCAGGGCCTCCCCTCCCTTGAAGAGATGCTTCCAGTATGCTGAGCTGTCATTAATTACACATGGTGAATGTGTCCTGTATTGGCACAGGAGATAACTTTCAGCCGCTGCTCCCTTGGCCCAAGCATAGGCAGACATCTGTTATTCAGAGCCAAAGACTGAGTAAGTGAAAACGGGTCAGGGGCATGACGAGAGGCTCCATTTGCTCTAACATGGTGCTGCCAATCGTGAAAGTATTTATGCTGTTAACATTAAGTATACTCTCCTCTGCACTGAGAAACGGGTCTCCATAATGGAGATGGACATTAAATATTGATATCAGGAAAGGAATCTACTGCCTGGCCCAGACCTCCCCCCATATCAAAGGGGGCAGACAAGGCTCTTTGGAACATTGTCCGTGGCCAGAGGAAGAAAAAATAAAAAGTAGCTACAAATTTCATACCCTGGGGTGGTCTGAGTGCACAACGAGGAAGCAGGTGATAAAATGCTCTTGTATCTGCTACACTGATCTTGCTGTTTCCAAGACCCTGGTTTTGACCCAGGGAGGTAACAGCACCAGGGACAAGCGAGGACAACACACTGAGGCTTTGCCACAGAGCCCAGAAAATGGAGCAGGAAAACTTCTTCAGAAATCAGCCCAGCCCTCTGTTTGGTGGTAGGACTGGCGATATTAAACCACTCAAGATAAGGGTGCCAACTAATGACCTGGTGTGACAAGGCTGATTTCCCCTGTGAATGGGATACCGCAGGAACAGACATACAGGCACATATAAACTCCAAGTAAAAGTTCACAGCCTGATCCACAAAGTCCTGCTGGTCTCTTTGAGCATCACAGTCTGACGTTCCCCTTCTACAGGTTGGAAACTGAACAAGGGAAACAACGGGACTTGCCCAAGACCATCTCATGAGAAAGTCTGGCTGTTGGCAAAGTGATACCCCAGCCAGAGTAGCATCCATATAACAACAAATGTACGTGAACCACCTCGAAGAAAGTATAACTTCGGCCAAAACACATCTGCTCTCCCCACAGCAAGACATCAGCTTGTGGATCAACGTCCCCAAACTGCTGGCTGGCAGAACGAGGAAGCCCCAGTGGCAAAACAAGATTTGCACTCACCAGTGTCTGGTCTGACCATGTACTACATCTTCACAGAGTTAGACACAGAAGGTGTATCAAAGAGCATGAGATGCCCCACTTAATTTTGCGGACAGCGGCGAGGTAGGTAACCTCAAATCAGCATCCACTCCCCTGCATTTTTATCAGCCTTTCCATGGTAAGCTTGGCTTGATTTCTCTATTGCAACTGCACAACCTGCACGAATTTTGGAGCAGGTGGCTGTGACCAGGGCATAGGCTACAGGGATCGCCTCGCACGCTTACCTTTTCCATTCATGAGGCTGTTCCGGAGAATCTGATCTACTTTTATTGCAATGTCCGAGACATTTTGAGCTATAGCTTGGATCCTCTCCATTAAACCAGCTGCTGGCTGGAACCTGGAAGGAAAACAAACAGACTCTGAAAACATGATGTCGTCTTGTCACAGCATCCAGGTTTGTTAGAAAGAGCCAGGAGGGCTTCCTGCTTCACATAGCAGTCTTTCTTTCCTTGCAAGCTGTTGGCAGGTAGAGCTTGGCCCCAGGACGTAAAGCAGGAATACATCCTCCAGTACACGTCAGGCAAAAATCCTGTTGGCTTTAGAGAGTTTTGACTAAAACTACATAATCAATTCTCTGCCATTTTGCACAGTGTGCTGATAAACATGGATATGCCTGTGTTTTACATGGGGACATAAAACATGCTGGCAAAATTTGTTTTCTTTAGTTCAAATATGCTATGTCTGAAAACCCTTTACCAAGATTATTGACCTTGCAGTGCACGCAGGAAGCCAAAGCCTGGGGTGAGAGGTGGGAGAGGGGGGGAGGAGTAAGAACAAAAAAAATTCAGGAAAAGAAAGGTGGAAAGTGGAAAAAGGATTAGAAAGCTAGTAGGCCTGGAAGAGCCTACAAAAAGCCCCAGCCACAAAACACACAAGACATGAGGATGGGCTGAACCAGTCTGGCCAGTCCACCACAGATTTAGGCCAGCAGTTTTCCACGTCCCCCAGTGATTCCCAGCCAACTGGAGCGAGTACGGCACCGGCAAGAGGTGGCCAAGAGGCATCCCCCTTGGTGAGCACCCGTTCATCACACACACGTGACCTTTTTGCTTAGGAAGTTGGCACTGCCGGACTACGTTTCATCTGTGAATGAATGCCAGCTGGTCTGCAAAAGAAATGACCTGATCGCCCATGAAGAGGAAGATAGGGATAACGGTTTCATTGGTTGTATTTGATGCATAACTGTGGAGGAGTCAGAGAGCTACACACAAACCGCTCACCCTTGCTCCCCAAACCTTAGCAGGAACTCTAATAAACCAGGGACAGCTTTGCCCCTTCAAGCAACCGGTGAGGAGCAGCAGGTGAGGGTCTCACAGCATAGGGTCCCAAGGTGATTACCTAAAGCACTGCCCGTGGCACAGCTGAATGTGGCATCGCAGCATGCAGGAGCTCCAGCGAAGCACACACTTGCCTTCCTGCCAAGACTTGAGACTAAATTCCACCAGGCTGGATAGGACTTCACTGCATACACTGCCTATTGAATCAAAACTCACGATCAATACCAGCCTGGGTAAACAGATGGCAGTCGCAGCGTCTCAGCTGTGCTGAACATCGCCTCAGCCGGAAGA